GCTGAACCGTGTCTATTAAAGTTACTTATCACACCTCTGCACTGCCTTTTTCTTTCTCAAAAGTCAAAATATATTATTTCCATTAATTGATAAATTGAGGTAATAACAGCACTGGCTAGTTTATACTCTTTTATTATTGTGATTTTTAATATACTAGTGTTTTATTTGTGCAATATATTAATATATTAAATATGAAATAAATATTATTTGATATAGCTATAATTTATAATAAATAAGTATTTTAAATATTTGAGTTATATTATATTTTGGATTTACAAGATAAATATATATAGTAATAAAAAATTTATTTTAAAAATATCAAATTAAATTTAAAATAAAAATTAATTAATTAAAAGATATGATAGATTGAAATATATATATGTATATATATATATATGCTCTCTTAAAAAATAATTGAAAAATTCCTTAAAAAATATTGTTCATGACCTTTTCTTAATCGATGAAAAACAATATTATTAAGAACTTAAATCTTAAATCCTAAATCTTAAACATCACCCATTTTCAATAACTAGATAATAGTTGTTCTACTTGTCATCAATCAATTTTTTCTTTTAAATAATTTATATGATTTAAAAAATAAAAGGAAAACTTCAAGCATGAAATGTAATTGTATAAAAAGGAAAAGAGAAAACAATCTCAGATAAAATATATTATCTTAGAACGGTAAGCAAATTAGAAAGCATTCAAAAATAAAAATGTATTAAGGTATATATTCAAATTGTAGAGAATTATGGAAATAAACTAATTTAATTAATTAGTTCGTAATATTTTATAACACATAATATCAAAGTCATCATATTATTGAAAATCATGATTTTATTGGTAAAATTGATGAGAGTAATGTTTGACATGGAAAATTTGGTCACACTTTTATGCAAGATGTATTTGATATGACAAATTCCAACAAATGGTATTCAAAAACAGGAGGAGGAGTTAAATTGAATGACAGAAGATCAATTGGCAGACATCTTCACAAAGACACTTCCAAAAGAAAAGTTTGAGAACTTGAGAGGAAAACTTGGAGTTAATAGTTACTGATACAAGGAAGAGTATTGAGAATATGAATCAGCATCTATTATTTGAGTTTATTTCAGATTAATGGAGCATTATTAAAATTTCTACAATTATGAATTTTAATTATAGGAATTATAGGTGTTGTCATGGTTGTCAATCTCTAGTGACAACTCGTAAACTCGTACGAGTTTACGAGTTTACAAGAGCATACATGTACAACTCGGAGGTAAACTCGTTTTTTAGTGAACTCGGAGCAATCTCGGTGAACTCGGTAAACTCGTGTAAACTCGCGAGACTACCTCCAATATTAAGAGATCACCATTTTTTTTTTCAATCCTCTGTGCGCCTCACCTCCTCTGTGTGACTCCTCCGCGCGCCTCACCTCCTTCGTACGACACCTTCGCGCATCTTCTCTCCTCTCCACGCGACACCTCCGCGAGTCTCCTCTCCCCTCCGCGCGACTCCACCTTGAGCGCAACACCTGGTCCGCGCGACTCCACTGCGAGCGGAACACCTGGTCTGCGCGAGTTGAGCGAAGACAAGAGATCAGACATGTCGATCCTCGATTCTAGAACCTTCTTCAGCTTCCGTGACAGACCTGGTGCTAGACCCGCCACCGTCGTTCCCATTCTCTTCTCTTCTTCTTCTCCGATCTCTATTTAGATGTTTGATCTAACTAGCTTCTAACTTCTTCGATTCTTGCAATTTTGTTCGTTAAACCCGGTTCGGGATGCACACCGGTCGTGTCTCGTGGGATCAGGTTTGATGGGCTAGTTTTGTATATTGGCCCCGAATTTAAGTGGGCTCATCAATGCTGTTTACACGGCCCATAATTTTTGCACTTTCACCCCTATTTTTTTCATACAGAAATATCCTTAATCTAAAAAAGTTTTCAACGTGTATTTATATTTATATTAATTACTAATATATCACATAGACAATTGACATAACATATTAATAATTGATGTAACACATTAATTATTATGTTATTTTTATTTATTTATTTATTTATTTATTATTGAGTAATCTCTTACGAGTTTACGATACGAGTTTACGATACGAGTTTACGGAGCCTCCACGAGATTACGTAAACTCTCGAGATTGACAACCTTGGTCATATGTATACTTTTTGGTTAGTTTTGATGTCACTTGAATTTTCAGAGATGTTATTTCCACAGGTTATCTTTAGCTTGCACATTGCTGACAATATTTTAACTTATGTTAGCAGGGTTGAACTTGATATGTTATTACTATATGTAACTGAGACAATTGAAGAAGTTGTAAAGCTCTTGGGAAAAATTAATGCTAATACAACTGAGGGATGCAGTCCAATTTGTGTTGAGGAGCACTTAACAGGTTATGTGCTATCCAATTGACGAATGAAATTTGTTAAAAGTACATATATGTAGTACAAGGTAATTTCTTGATGTTTTCCATTTTCTGATATGACTATTTTGCTTTGTTCTTTTAGCTCTAAATTTTAGGTGCATTGAACGAATTTATGGTCAACATGGGCTTGATGTAACGAATTTGCTAAAGAAGAATGCATCTTTAGTTTTGCCGGTCATTTTAACCCGCTTGAAGCAGAAACAGGATGAGTTGGCAAGGTGTCGTGCTGATTTTAATATAGTCTGGGCTGAAATATATGCAAAGAACTATCACAAATCACTTGATCACCGTAGTGACTACCTTAAGCAGCAGGATACAAAAAGCTTGAGCACTACAGGTAAAAGATTGTCACCTACTTTAAATTAATTATTTTGTTTATGGCTGCAAAATATTTAACCATTTGTGATATCATATCGTATTTTCATTCCATTTTTTGGTGACTTGTGTTTTCGATTGTCTTTTATATGCTTATTTGTATTCCCTTCCTTGCATTTGTTTTGATCGTATTGAATACAACACAATATAGTTTCCATAAACCATGGATAAACACATACAAAATGATTGCCGTATTATTGTTTGAGTTGGTGATCATGGTACAAGAGTTTTTTTTATTCTCCTGAGATGTAACTCCTAACTCCTTGCTTTGCTGTGCGCTTTCAGACTTATTGGAAGAAATCAAAGAAATCAGTGAGAAGAAACAAAAAGAAAATGATTTTCTTGCAATTTCTGCTGTAAACAGACAGCCTATTATTCCTCTCATGGAATCTGGGTATCCTGATCTGGAGATTCATGAAGATGGACCTAATGATACAGAAGGTGTTGTCAAGGCTAAGAATAATTCTGCCAAAAGTGGTATTGCAATTGCCAAGGGTCATGTTAGTCTTGGTGTTGGATCTAACAAAATGAATCCCAAGAGTTTGAACTCTAATAGAAATGGGAATGAGAGTGTTCAGCTAGAAGAATCTAATTCCTGCAAAGAACGGAAAACAAATGAGGATAATATGGTTGAGGAGGATAATTATCTTTATTTAGAGTGCTCTACACTTAAGCCTGAAACCTTACGCCGTAGTACACAGCAGGGTAAAGTGAATATAAATGCATCCATTCCTAATGAAGTCTCAAGAGGCAATAAGCAAGATCATTCCATTGAACAGTTAGTGATTGCTAATGCCTCACTGTCCTCTGGTATGGATAAGGAATGGTTATGGAGTCTCTTTTAAAGAGAATTATTGTTTTATCATGGATGAACATGGTTTAGAGATTGCAAAGATTGAGATGACCAAAAACGATTTTTATTTAAAATTTGATTTGATTGAAAATCATGATTTTATTGGTAAAATTGATGAGAGTAATGTTTGACATGGAAAATTTGGTCACACTTTTATGCAAGATGTATTTGATATGACAAATTCCAACAAATGGTATTCAAAAACAGGAGGAGGAGTTAAATTGAATGACAGAAGATCAATTGGCAGACATCTTCACAAAGACACTTCCAAAAGAAAAGTTTGAGAACTTGAGAGGAAAACTTGGAGTTAATAGTTTTAAGGAATGGTTATGGAGTCTCTTTTAAAGAGAATTATTGTTTTATCATGGATGAACATGGTTTAGAGATTGCAAAGATTGAGATGACCAAAAACGATTTTTATTTAAAATTTGATTTGATTGAAAATCATGATTTTATTGGTAAAATTGATGAGAGTAATGTTTGACATGGAAAATTTGGTCACACTTTTATGCAAGATGTATTTGATATGACAAATTCCAACAAATGGTATTCAAAAACAGGAGGAGGAGTTAAATTGAATGACAGAAGATCAATTGGCAGACATCTTCACAAAGACACTTCCAAAAGAAAAGTTTGAGAACTTGAGAGGAAAACTTGGAGTTAATAGTTACTGATACAAGGAAGAGCTACAACTTCTAACGAAGAAAGATGTTCACACAAAAAACCCTCTAACAAATTATATAATGATAAGAGAACAGACAGCATGCGGGTGTATACAGTAATAAACCCCAAAGAGATTGTTGTGCTAAACCAAAAATCAATACGATAATAGTGATTGCTTAGGGTAAACGTGCTAGTAAATATCGATTCAAGAAATGATAAAATATGACACGATTCGATACGATTCCAGCCGCTGGCTATACGAATTGTTTTGGTGCTTGAATCACACTATGAATCGCATGCATCGGATCTGAATTGCAAGAATCACGACTTAGAGAAGAATCGAAGGATTCTAGTGCAAGCAATTATGTGAAGACGTTTTCGTTCTTCAATCACACTGCGAATCGCACAGAAACATTCACAAAACGATCCGCAGAGTCAAAAACCCTAATCTGCGGAACTAAAGCGAACACCAACGACTGGAACGGCACGCTTACCGACAGATTGAAACTATTCAACATACCGAGGAACTTAGGCATTTTCCTTAACGAACAACTGGCTAGGCTTGTTGCCCTGGTGAGGCTGCGCCGCCACGACAAAGAATGCTTTGCGGAGGTGGTCGGCATTGATTCGTCAGACATTCCACGCTGCCTCGTACTCGCAGCCACCGCAGGAGGGAGAAAGAGAGGAGGTTTAGTATGGTACTTTAGTCTTTGGTTTAATAGTATGAAAATTTCTGTGTAATGTTGCAAAGTAAATATTTTTGTAACAAATTACTTTTAGGTTTATTTAAAAACTTTAAAATAATAAATAAATCTCTTTAAAAATATATGAATAATTGGACAACTTTCATGATATATAAACATGAATATAAATTTTTAAAAATATAATACAGTTTTACTTATATTATTTATTAATAAGGACATAATTTTTCATTACTATTAATATAGAAAATATTACTTATATATGACTTTAACTACATTTTACTTGATCTTTATTATTTAATAAATTCTATATAATTTTTTTCTTTTTTAAAAAAATTTTGTGAAGATTTTTAATCTTTTATAGCAATTTTAAATATTTTAATAGACGTTTTATTTTAAAATAGTTTCTCATTTTTAAATTTAATTATATCTTTCTATTTTAAAATTAAATTTAGTTTTTTTATTTATCCATTTCCTTCTATATTTAAAATCTTTAACTTCATATTTATATATATATATATATAATATTTATAAAATTAAATATATTTATTTTTTTAAAATATTTTTTATTTTATAATTTCCTATTGAAACATCAAACTTCACTTAAATTACAAAAAAAAAAAAAAAAAACACTCAAAATTTTCATCATTATCCTAATTTTAATCACATTACAACAAAGCAAACCTTAAATGTTTTATTAATATTTTTTAAATATGTCCTATTGTAGGGTGTGTTTGATAAAGAAGAAAGAAATAGATGAAAAATAGAGAGACGAGAAAAATAGGAGAGTGAAAATAAATAAGGAATAAAATAAAAATTTAATTATTTGGTTGAAAAGAAATAGATGATAAATTATAGTATATAAATATTTAATATGTTAGAAAGAAATATGTGATAAATAATATATATATATATATAAGAAGGAATATATATATATATATATAATAAAATAAAAAATCTTTTGAAATAAAATAAATAAGTAGTTAAAAAGAAAATAAATATTTTTAAAATATTACTCTTTTGGATGAAAATTAATTAAAATGATGTTTTTAAATTAAAAAAAAATAAAATAAACATATAGAATACAACTAAATAAATTAATTAAATTAAATTTTAAAGTGTCAATCGAATTAATAAAATTTTTACTCGAATGTAGATATTTATTTACTTAAATGAAAGTACACTTTTGAAAGAAACCTATTTTAATAAATAGTTTGTTTATTCAAATAAATATAAAAAATATGTTTTAAAATAAATTATTTTTTGAATCAAAGTTGTATTTATTCAAATAAATAAATTAAATCGAATGAACAATTAAAATGTTATTTGAATAAAAGTACCATTTATTCAAATTTGAGTGGGAATATCACATATATGATTTATATTAGAATATCTTCTTTTATTATTTTAATTATTTATTATAGATCTATTGTACATAACAATGAAAATAATATAATTATTGTTTTCTTCTTTAAAAGCATTAAAAAATTGTCTTAACCCATCCAATTAATTGTATATGTTCATCATATCTTAATCCTATAAAATACACAAAATTGATAAGATATAATTATCTTACAAATGTGTGTATATATATATGTGTGTGTGTGTTAAACATATGACAATCGTTAAATATTAATATGAATTAATTATTTTTTATCTAAATTTTAAAAGGTACAATACATACAACATAAGTATAACACTACAAGCAACTTCATAATATGTTTAGACTTGTACTTGCCAAAAAGTACACACAAGAATATGTTTAAATTGAAAGTCATTGGTTATGAACTTCTCATTCATCGGCCTTCAAGTATCTTCAGTCATTGATGTCAAAGTTAGTAGGTATTTGAAGTGTTGGATCTCTTATGTAAAATTGTGTACCTTATAAAGGTCTTATACATGCATATTTATAGATAGATGAATGTTATTGTTGGTGATCGAGTCATTAAAGGCATTCAATAACTTTTATTGTTATGTAACGGCTGGGAGTTACATTTTAGCATGATTACGATGTGGTGTTTGGCCAACTCAAATACTTCTAAGCCTTATAGATTGTCTTTCGGTAAATGGTAACATCTCAACTCATTCAAACATTATTGTATAAACAGGATTGAAAACATCTTGGCCTCAAGACCATTCCAATACACAAGTCCCCAAGTCTTCGACATCTTCAAAAAAAATTTAATGTATAAGCTTAGTAAAATTTTTATTTTTTGGCAAAAAAATTTAATGATTAACGTCTTTTGAGTATGTCGTCATTTTAATAGTAACATCAAATGCAATGATGACATGTTAAAAGACATAAGCGGATATGAAATGTCTCATGCATACAAAAAGTCGCACTCATCTCCACCATTCATATCAGGGGAATCTAATGGATTAGGGAGACCCATCACTTAGTATCCCAAAGCTATATTCTCCTATAAATAAGGAAGGTCTTTTAACCCTTAAAAGAATTTACTTGCTACCTATGACTTTCGAATACATCGAGCACTTGCTTTCCTCACCTTAGATATTTTAAAGTCTAGGTACACCTTCCTTCCTTCCTTCTTTTGAGTTCAAACAATAGTATAAAGTCTAAAATGTTTGGGGGAATGGAGGTTAATGTTATTTATAATTCTTCTCCATCTTCCCCATTTTCATCCTTTTTATCTGAGAACTCTCACTCTTTTTCTACTTCCTCTCACTCTTTTTGTAATTCTAAATTCTCAGTAGCTTTTATGAGGGTATTACCACGCTTAACTCACAACTCTGATCCAAGTTCATCTATGATGGGTGACATTTGTACATGATTCAAAATAATCAAATAGTCCTTTGTAATGGTAATAGACTTATTTTCTGCTATTATGAAATCTAAGCCTAAAATCATTTTTTCTCCAGCAGGAGGGTTTTTGTTGTTTTTTCACTACAAAACTGGTTTTGTTTGGGAACTATGCTTTCACATAGGCAAGTGAAAGTAGCTCCTGCATCAACAAGTGCTTAAATAATAAGCTCAGTTTTATCATTTTGGTTGATTTTGGGAAAAATGATTTTTACCAAAATATGTAACTTGGTGTTCTATTAAAGTTTTTAATTAAATGTTTTATTTTAATTAATCAACAAGGAAATGGTGCATTGTCATATGACAAGACACATAGTAGTTTCAATGTATTATCATGTTATCACAATACACATTCACAACTACACATTCATTCATCATCATCTCATGTTCACATCGCAACTAAGTCTTAGATTTCTTATCATATAACCCTCACGACTAAGATACCAATTTGCCAATACCAGCTCACATTGTTTACATTGTTCATATCTCATAATATCATAATTACATACTTAGCATATCATACTTAGTTATCAATATTAACTAGTAGAAGAATCACATGTTTGTAGCTCAAACATAACATCATTCGATACATCTCAAGATAAAATCACTAATTAATTATATGTTAAAACCTCAACCATAGCCATAAGGAAATCAACATCAAACTAAACATTTAAATTAATAACTTAAATAATTTAATCAAGGTCGGCCCAACATATTATTAAGGCAAATCTTAAAGTCAAACTTTTTCAAAATTAATCATAATATATTTTGATAAAAAAAAATATGGTACTTGAAAAAACAATTATATTTGTATATGTTTTAAAGCAAAATTATAAGAATGCAAAAAGTAACTTTTAAGTTATGGAACCTATAAAAAGTTATATAAATATTGAAATCAAATTTTTTTTTTTGGAAAAGGCCTAAAGGGAGGGCTTTGTTGGCCTTGTTTTTGGGTCAACCTTGAACGTTATTGACATCACACATTAATTCCTTAGATATTATTATCATTAAAATACTTAAAGTCGTTAACAATCAACTGACATCATAACTTATCCACAATTATTCTCTCTTTCTAGAATAATAATATAGGCATCTCAAACCATTCATAGGATCAAACACTTAAAAGGTAAAGCTTTTTACCATCATCATTCACAAACTACATTTTCATAACTAAATCTTCTATGATCTTGTGTGGTCTAAACACGGTATATAGAACTATACACATGTTATCAAGTTGATATTGTTTTATAAAGATAAGATAACTATCTAAAACTTCTATGTTGATTTCAATAGTTAATTCAACCATTTATTATTTTTAAAAATTACAAAACCACAATATTTCAAAACAATCAAACAGTCTGACATCTGCTCACTAATTTTATCATAACTAGAATTATAGACATTTTTTTAACAATTTTCATGGCATTTGAGATCTAACATTTAAGGCTACAACTCTTATGAAGATCACAAAAGCAAACTCAACCATTTTTTGGCTCAAGTGAACTAACCATTCGCTTAACCGAGGTCAACTCGCTTGGAGTGAGCTAAAATTAGCTTGAGTGAGCTAAATTTCCTTAGAGCAAGTCTAAGGTCGCTTAAAGCGAGCTACAACAAGTATTCATAAGTTTCAAACCCTTCCCACACACAGATTTTAATTTTAACTTGTTTCAAAGCATAAAAACAACATCACTTCTCTCTTACGACTTTGGGAAAGGAAGGAGTTAATCCACGTCGGAAATAACTTGAATAATCACAATTTGAATTTTTCCCCACATGGACACTCCTAAATGGTGTGTGGAAATTTAGATGGAAGGCAAACATTATAAGCATTTTTGACAGGTGGGATTAAATTGAACCCAAAATTTAAAGTGAGACTAAATTGAAACTTTAAAATATTACAAAGGACCAAATTAGGGTTTTAGCCTAAAATATACTATTTATCACGATAAACATTAAGTATTTAACTGTCTTTTGTGTTTTATGTTATAAGAAAATTTTTAAAATCAATATATCATTTTTGAAGTATATTTTTTTTAAAAAAAATGTATTTGAGTGTAGCTTGTTAACTTAATTTTCTTTAAAAATAAATGGATGTAAGTTATCAAATTTATGTGGAATTTGTTAATATGCATTCTCTTATTTTTTAAAGAGTATTGTCGTAACCGGGATCACGACGG